AAGCAACAAGACACCAATTAGAAGCGCATTTTTATTGCCATCAAGCCAATGTTTGACATGATAATGATGGTACCCCCATTTAAAGAAGCTTCAAAATGGCAGGTTAAAGGAGGTTCACCATGAAGATTTGGGCAATTTCTCGTTGCTAAGCATGTCACTCTGTTTTCGACAAAAGAAATTATTCCTGTTGAGCTAATTAATGAGATAGCTTTGAGATAATGTATTCTTTCTTCTGTTTCAACTGCACATATTATTTCCACATTTACCTCCAGAAATCTGTGAACTAAACATATGCCCTTTAATTGAAGTCACAGGTCCGTGTCATAGAAGGTTTATAGGACAGGCGGATGATCAGAACATCACCACATCATTCAGTTGACACTGGTGGTATTTCTTCCTGGTGCCAGGACAGAAACAGACGCAGCAGAAAGCATCTCAAGTGACATTGTCTTTTCGATTGGTTTATTACCCGAGAATATTTCAAAGCCACAAGCTGGAGAAAAAAATGCCTCCCTTTTTAAGAGGTTTGGTTAAGCAGTTGCAGATCTGATATTTCTACATTCATGGATTCAACCTTGCAAAATGGTATCTTTTCACTTGGAAAAAAATCTTTAATAAAAAGAAGTGGAGGGTTTTAATGCTAAATTAGTCTGTGGTTTCTTTAGCGGGTGTTTTGAACCCATTAAAATTTCTGTAGCTACTTGCTACAGCAACTTTTGGGAAAGAAGCATTAACTTTGAAATGTTTTACAAAAATGTACTTTGTCTGGACAAAGACCTCTGTTTCGTTTTGTTTTGTTTTGCCTGAATGTTTTCAAACAGTTGTCCAGCCTGTACATATCTCTTCAGTTACTCTATCCTCAAAGAGTTTCTATACCTCGCTCCATTGTTATCCGAGTTTCTAGTCAGTTGAATGCCATTCAAATATTGTGAAGAAATAGGTCTTTAAGTTGAATATAGTTTATACAGTACAAGCTTTTGTGCCTATGGTCAATATGAATTATTTGAAGTCATTGATCAAGTCCCTATCTCCACTTAGTTCTAAGGCATCTCCTCCTAATAGCACATACTAAGGAAATGTAAATTAATTAATTTGAAGGTTCTATAAATCTCATAAACGTTAATAACTTTTCGTACTTTTAATAAAGAAAGAAAAGAGGTCAGCAGGGGAAGAAACATGGGGATCGTGCCCACTTCTCATCGTTTTCTTTTCGTATTGAAGAGTTTGTGTTCCCTAAAGCCAGAAATAAGAAGTAGCAAGGAGGTAATGGGAGTAATAAAGTGTTTTGGAAGAAGCTGAGACATCTAAACCGGTTCTGAATTTTATTTGAGCAGTGACAACGACCACTGATTTTCACCATCACCATTTCCGCTTAGGTCTCTAGGAAAAGTTGCAAAATTCACAAAAGTAATCTGAAAGAAATGTTCTCCCATTTCTCCTTCTCTCCTTCTTTCTTTCCTTCTTTGTTTTCTTTTTTTCCCTCTTATCTTACCTTCTTACATTCTTTTGCCTTTCACATGACTCTCTCCAGTTGTATAGAATCTTCCACCCCATTCAGGTCAAGTTCCCTACTCCCTGCCTGGTTAATACTATTCCCCCCTGCGTTGTCTTGGTTTAATGTATTGTAGAACTAAAAGAGGGAAGATATTTGTGAGCTAGGCTGTCACCCATGTGGGCTAGTGCTTTTCTCTCTTTTTTTCCCCATCCCCTTCTGTTTAATTTACTAGGGAGTGAGATAACTTGAATTAACAATGCAGCACTACTCAGACCTCACCTTGGGGATTAATATTGCCCCCATGGAGCTACTTATTTCCTGGAGAATATATCTCCGTTGACACAGACAATCTCAAAAATTGGAAATTATCAAATAATAAGAGTTCTGTTATGATCAAAAATGTAAAACCTTCTAGAGAAATTCATACGCTCATCAGTAGTAACATTACATTATCTTCTTAACGACACTACTGTCTCCTACCAAGGCTCATGGGGTGTAGACTACAGTTTTTCTTCATTTATCTCCTGTAGCGATTACAACCAACATTTGGTTTAGAAGATAGTTTTACAAATGTTTGTTTTAAAAATTGCTCAGTGTTTAAGTAGCTCTTTCTGGATGGTGTTACTAGTCTTTTATCTAGCTGAGTTAGCTTTTTTTTTCTAATCTTTTCTTACTAATTCATATCAGTAAATTGGTTCACAAAAGAAGAAACATTGCCCATATGTAATAAACATCCCTGAGAGCAGTAGCCATCATTGGAGCAGTGCTCTTTTATAGAGATTATTCTATTTTCAGGGTTGCTGACCTTTTGCCTCCTTATTGGTTGCCATGGTGATGATCTGAGCTCTGCTTAAGAGAGCTTTACTAAGATGAAAGCAATCAATACGCTTTTTAACTGTAACGTTTATATTGATAGTTCCAAATAACACATATCAAAATAAAATTTAGCTGTATAAATTTATCTAATAGTTGAATTTTATTTTTAAGAACATGTTTACACAGATGTTTATATAAATTGTAAGTAATTAAGTACACTATGTGGTTTTCTTAGAATACCTTTATGAAGACATAAAAATATAGATACAATTGAAATGTAAATTTAAAAGCTTATAGTGAAATGGATAATACAACTCTTTTATAAGCAAACTTGAGAAGTTGTGGGTATCATAGTTAATGATTCTAAAGCAAAGTCAATTTAGAGAACTCTTTTAGCACCTTGTCATAAGAAAGCTCATGGCCAAGCTCGTCTCATATGCATCTGTACAACTTCTAATAGTTTCAGAGGAATCCTGAAACACTCAGGAGAAAGCAAGTTGGTGGTCTGCCAAAATTCACTAGGCAAAGTAAAAGAGTATGGATTATGTTTGTTTCTAAAGTTCACTTAACATTTTTAAATCTTTCACTTGCTGGTTGTAGATAGACTACTATTTTTAGGATTATAGTGAACCTTCTGTGGATACACTTTGTTCTGTGGAATTTGATTCTTTTTCCTGTAGAATTAAATGATATTTGTTTTCAAATTATATTCATGTATTCTGGTTGAAATATTATAGGTAAAATGTAAATATATTTGATATACACACTCTATGATTGTCATTGCAAAGAAAGAAGTCTGAGGAATGGCTGAAATCACAAGGTCCATTATCATTGTAATTTGTCTAAACTCTAAGGTGTAGGTGTTACGCTATTGCTTTCTGTGCATTGTCTCTAACTCTCTCAGTAGCCTAAGCAGAACCAGCTGAGAGTAGGATGGGGAAGGGTGCAGTTTGCCCAGGGCACAATAGCCACACGTAAACTTCTCTTTCCAAAACCTGCATTCTTCTACTTCTTGATGTTTGAGGACCTGGCTCCAGAGTTCTGTTCCCTTATTCTATCAAATGCACGCTAAGTTTATTAAAAACAAAAATCAACATCCCCGATAGTAGGACTTGGAAATAAAATTAAATCAATGCTGTGGCTGTCCATAGTGAATGAAAACAAAATGAACTATATGCTCATTTCAAGGGTCAAAATAACTTCTTTGAAAAACATGAGAAATAGCCATAATCATAGATTTTTCATGTATCACTGTTTTTCTAATTAAAAAGATTTCTTAAATGCAGGATTAACTTTAAAAAAATTTGGCTATATGTGTTTTAAAATTAGAATGACAAATTATATCCGTATGTTATTTGGTTTCAATTATCATATTTATTTTTATAAAACTAAAAACCTTATCCTTATTAACAACAAAAGTAGTAAAAACTTTTAGTGATTCTGCTATTCAAGAACTATTTATTGACCATCTACTATTGTAATCACTGGGATATAGTTGAGAACCAAGCAGGCAAAGTTCTTCTCATGAAGCATGTGTTCTTTGGAGGAAATCAGATAATAGATAAATGAATATAAGATGTGCCAGGTGGCAATAAGATCTAGGGATTAAAATAAAACAGAAAGAGGGTATAGAGAGTGAATGAGGAATGAGAAGGAAGGACTGTTTTAGATAAGGTTGTCAGCCAAGACCATCATTTCCTGTCGGTTATTACATTCAGTTTCTAATTGGTCTCTTTGCTTTTACTCTTGCGCCTCTAGTGTCTTCACACAGTAGCCACACTGAATATGAGTTAGATCATATCTTTGCCTCCTCAAAACCCTGTAACAACTTCTACTTAGAATTCACAGTCCTTCTTTATCTTACAAGACCCCGCGTGATCTTTCTCTCTTTTTTTTTTTTTTTGCCTTCCTGACCGCATTTCTATCCTTCTCACTTACTGTACTCTATGCACAGATTGTTCCTGAATATGCCAAGTAGGTCTCTATCTCTGGGCCCCTAACACTTGCTGTTCCTCTGCTGGGCGTAGGATGCCTTCTGTTGTTACTCCCTGATGCCTCCCAGGTCAGCCTTCCATGACCATGCTATCTAAAATAGCATCCCGCCATCTCTTCATCTCTTTCTTCTGCTTCATTTTTCTTCGTAGCACTTATTACCTCCTGCTTTTGCATTGCATATATTAAATATAGGTACATGCAAACATAAGTACCGCAAGAGCAGGGGTTGGGGCTCTCTCACTCACTACTGTACCTCCACACCTGGAATGGTGGCAACATATTGCAAGAGCACAGTATTTACTTATGACGTGAATGAATGAATGTACTCTGAGGATGGACTGCTGAAAATGGGGAGAAAATTGTAGAAAAAATGTCAACTGCTTGGAGGTTTTAAAAAGGACCTCCTGAGCTAGTGCTTTTTATGATCCTAATTCTGACTCCTATTGTCACCTGGCATAACCATTCCTAGCTGTAGCCTAACCTGAGCTCCCTTTCCCTAGCTTTGCTTAGGACACAGAGAATCTTTGCCAACTAATGTATGTGTACACTGTGTAGCTGCACTATAGATGTGAAATTTTGGTGACTGCATTTCAAGTTTCTAAAATATTTTAAATGGGTTGATTTATGGTCATGTTCTTTCTTTTTTCCTTTCTTTTTGTTTTTCTTTTCTTTTCTTTTTTTTTTTTTACTGAAGCCTCACAAAATGCCCCAAAACTTGGACCCATGGAGCTGACTGTTGTTATTACTGTGCCAGTTTGCCTCCTGTTCGTAGCTGCAGTGCTGACAATATGGGCATGCCAAGGTCGACAGTGCACATACAGAAAGAAAAAGAGACAGAATGTGGAGGAGCCCCTCTCTGAGTGCAATCTGGTAAATGCTGGAAAAACTCTAAAAGATCTGATTTACGATGTGACTACCTCTGGATCCGGATCCGGTATGTGCCTGTGGTCCATTTTTCAGCAAGAAACTTCTTATTTAAAAATAAATAAAAAAGAAATTTTTAAACAAAAAAGGGCTCCAATTATGAATTCCATCATTTAAAATATTTGATAGGGTATATGGTAAGTTCTGGTATAGAAACATGTTTTACGATTTGATGAAGAGAAATTCAGTCATGGCCTAAAGAATTAAGTCTTCTCATTTGCCTTTTGTGACTTTAGGTATTCAGATGCTCATTTTGACATTCTTTCACAATTTATTTCTGAAGCAAGGAAGGAGTCTCTTCTTTCCTCTCTTCTCCATTATGATTAGTAATAATCATTTTTGCTCTCTTGGTAATGTTTCATGGGCACAAAAGAGTTACTGAATTTGAGGAGTTGAGTTCTGGTGGAGGGAGATACTAGTTACTCAAAATAATGTTCTTAAAGCACATTTGCTTGTGATTATGAAGGTCTTTAGAGTCTGTACGCACCCCTGGGACATGTGAACAAAGTTACCAGAGAGCTGACCTGAAATTAAAATCAAGAATATGTTCTTAAATCATAGAAACGAAAGATGAAAGGGAGCAACACAGCATTCCTGTGCAGGCTTTTGATGCTAAGGTTGTATGATAATTCTCTTCTTCTTTAATGGAACTCCAGAGCCTCTGGTAAAGCAACTCAAGTTCAAGTGATTAAATAACAGTATATTTAATCACTACCGGTTAATCTGCAGATGTTAGGTAGAAATGTGTATTTTAGAGTACCAGGCTGTATTATGGCTTAGGTGAGCTTTTTTTCATAGCACAAAATGTCTAGAGTTTTTTGGGTTTCTGGCCATAAAGAAGAATTTCTCTCGTAATCACCAATTCCCTAAAATGGCAGCAGGCTCCCTGCTTTCCTGTATATCTCCAGAAATCCTGTCAGCATGTGGTGGTGCAGAAACACAAATTAGGGTAAACCTAAATGAGCCACTTTTGAAGCCCCTGCAGCCCCTCTTGCTTTGGAAGGATCATGAAGGATGATTATTACCCCAAACAGATTTTAAGTAACTCCCATGTCCCTTAGGAGCATCTAGGCAGACACAATGAACAGTGGCAGATGACAGAGGGATGTTAGCATCTATATGAGCATTTACATTTGACATGATGTAGCCATAGACTCACCGAAGAGTCCAGAAAAGAGAGGCCTAATCATATCATCCAGAGGGCTCAGATAGTTTGCTGCTTCTGGGGGGCAAGATCGCCTGCTCTCTCACTGACCGAAGTTTCAATGTTTACACTGTCACTGCACAAATTAGGTGGCATGTTTTCAAGGGAGGAATATTGGAAAAATGTCTCCAAACTGCAAAGTTTATAAAATTGAAATTCAAATTAAATTATTGGATAGAAAGCTGGCATTCTTCCTTTAAAAATAAAACTTGTTCAGATTCAGTATTCTTTTCTTCCTTGAGCATTACATTTTGGGGCCCACTGTGACCTAATTTCTTGAGTGCTGGCAACATTCTAGGCACATAATATGTGCACAGAGAGCTCTGATTTGTGCCAAGTTCTTTGAAACCTTATATAATTTCTTTATGAGTTTCAAGTGATTAAATAACCATCTATTTAATTACCACCAAAACATTTCAGTTCATCTGGAGATGTTAGGTAGAAATGTGTATTTTGGAGTGACTCCTTGAATATATTTAATATGGGTTTTAAAATTCCTAAAGCGTTTTCCTTTCCAATAAACATAATAGATATTTTATAACTGGAGACTGAATATTTAGTTTAAGAAAGCAGCCATGAGCCAGAGCATAACCTAAAAAAATTTAACGTTAAATTTTTTGGTGCTTTTATGCAACTTTTACACCCAAATCTGGATTTATTGACTGCTGGACTCTCTCCTCTTTAGATTATTCTAAGATTTCTCTTAAAATAAGTTGTAAATGTACCCAAGTGTGGATGATTTTTTTTTAAACGAGCAATTTGAAAGAGTTTTAGGTGCTTTTTCCCTAAGTTAGCTGCATGTACTTGGCAGAGACCACTGGCTAAAAGTAAGTAATGGCGGCACTGTGTTTGATAATCAGAGATGAGTCTGTTGGCAGCAAGGCTTCTGTCACAAAAGCTCACCCATGGGGAGGGAATCAGGTTGTTCTGCTTCCCCTCTGCTTCTCTTAATTGGCCAGTGACCTTAGACGAGAGGCAACTTTGTCAGGTGTTGAGAAACAAAAATTGTGAAGCTTATCCTTGACCTGGTCAAGGACAAATTTCAAAGAGATATAATGCCTGCAAGAGAGGAAAATGAATTGATGTTTTACCAGGCTGTCTTTGAGAGTGGATTGTGTCTCAGGTGGCTTCCAAGAGACTGGGTAGCTTGCTGCTCTCCTCTTGTGTTATAGCACTTCTGACATTACTGAAAGGTGCCTTTCTAGCAGACAGACATCGGCTTTTACAATCCTGGTATAAAAAATGTGAAACGAACCTACAGGGAGAAGCAAAGTCTATGTATCTTCAAATGAAATCTCTAAGTATATAACACAAGAATTAGATTATTTTGGGGGTTGCTTTGAAAGACACTGAAGCAACTTTTACTGAGTTTTACTGTCTCACCTTAATTGCTGTACTGAATACTTTAGATAATGTTGTCTTACTTTGTCTCTGGTCTGTGGCATTGATTGTGTGCTTGATCAATTTGCAGTTTGAAAACATTGGCTTATCCAGTTTTCTAGCTAAATATTGTTGCATTGTTGTTGGTAGTGGTTGTTGGTGGTGATGTTTTTGTGTGTGTATTGCAAGAGGGGATGGAGGAGAGTGATTGCAATTGCGATTTGGCTTAATAATTGTTAGTACAACTTTTATTGTGTGTAGTCAAGTAGTAAAATTGACTGTAGCCTACAAAAATAACCTATATAGTTTGCTGCTAGAAATCCTCCCAGCAGGGAAGGACTGCAGTCATATCCGTTAAATGGTGACAGAACAAGAGTTTGGACCGGAGCGTTTTAGTGGTAGGTCTGCCTCCTACTAGCAGGTTATTCCTGGGTAAGTCTTTCATTTCTGTGGGGCCCCAATTTTCTCTTCTCTAAAATAATAAAGTTGAACCAGATGATCTCAGAAGAACTTTCTAGTTGTGGGACTTTGTGACTAATTGTTGAGACCCATAATAGCAAATTTATAGTCTGTGCTTGTTTTGTCATAGTGGGTGGTTCTCATGATGATGAGAACATCTGAATAAACCATGGCTCATTTCAGGAGCAGAGGCTTAATCCTGCAGGAGCTTACACAGTTGTTGCTATGAGGGCTTTCCAGCCATCTGAGTACAATGACAGCAACTAAACATGACTTTCCAGAATAAATTATACTGTAACCTTTTTATGTTCCTCTAATTATGAGTTATAACTACCCATTGTAGAAATTAAGAAAATGTACAAAATTAGAAAGAAGTATATCACAATTTACCTTGATTCCATTAAGTAGATATAACCATCATAACATTTAGTATGTTTCCTTTTCAGTCTTTTCTGTGCATATTTTGATGCACTTATTTAGATGGATAGAATTTACTGTGCTATTTACATTTAACATTGTAGCAAAAGTATTTTCCCATGTCACTAAGAAATACCTCTTCATAAGCAGTGTCATTATTATTGACTCTAAACTATCCGTCCTAACACATAATATTAAGGACTATCCATTATTGAGCATGTAATGTGCCAAATACTGTGCTAAGTCCTTAACATGTTTATTAATTCTCACAGTATCCCTATGAGACAGGTAATATTATTATATCTCATTTTTCAGACAAGGAAGCCAAAGCTCAGAAAAATTCAATGATTTGCCTGTAGTTACCACATAGCACAGCTGAAATTGGAACCGAGGTCTTTCTTATCTGAGTTCTTAATCTCTGCATTATATCAACATCTTTTTCTATTATCAGACACTTTTCCTTAATTTTCCTCTAAATAATAATAATATCATAAACATTTTAACATAATTTCTTTTATATTTTGCATTAAATCTTTAGGATAAAATTCTAGAGTGGAGTTATTGGTTCAAAGAAACTAAACATTTCACATGCACTCAGAATATATTTTCTTTGACTTTTTCACTCCACAGAAAATATCCATTTGATATTTTTTATGACTGTACTTTGCTTTTACTGTAACATGCTTACTTACCTCACTTGATTGTTGAATTTGATTCTTCACTTTCCAGTTTTAATTTTTTTAATTCTCAAAACATTCTTCTGCTTTCCCAGTAGTACTAGGGACTATATATTATATTTTAGAGGCTAACAGCTTATTTTTTACTTAATTAATTTAAATTAATTTCAAGTATACAATACATTGGTTAGACATCTATATAGTTCATAAAACGATTCCCCCAGTTGCTCCTTCCCTTCTCTGGCCCTCCACCTAGCCATCATATTAATGCTAACTGCATTCCCTCTGCTGTGCTCCCATTCCCTGTGACCAGTTATCAACTATTAATTTGTACTTCTTTTAACAGCATATTTTCTAAACCTTTGTCTATTTAGTAACCTGATTGGCTTTCATGCACAAACCAGGGGTATTTGTAGCAGTTTTGGAAAATCAGATATCTGTAGCAGCAGGCTCTGTTCAAGAAATTTTTACTTGTGAATATGAGAAGAAAAATTCATAATAAAAATTTGGAATATTTTTTGAGCATACTTTAAAATTAAAGTTTGGTATAAAGGTGCTTATCTCTTCAAAATCGGAAAAGTCATTAAAATGCTTAAATATTTGCTTTTTTAATGTGAAAATAATAGTCAGTCTGACAGTTTTCTCTGGCCTTTATTTATTTTGAATAATGGATTCTGTCTTTTCCTTGGTTAGGTCTACCTCTGTTGGTTCAAAGAACGATTGCCAGGACAATTGTACTTCAGGAGATAGTAGGAAAAGGTAGATTTGGTGAAGTCTGGCATGGAAGATGGTGTGGAGAAGATGTGGCTGTGAAAATATTCTCCTCCAGAGATGAAAGATCTTGGTTTCGCGAGGCAGAAATTTATCAGACTGTTATGTTGAGACACGAAAACATCCTTGGTTTCATTGCTGCTGACAACAAAGGTATTTTCAATCTAATTGATTTCAGCAAATGAAATGTTATGTCTGTTATCAAAGGAGAATAAATTGTCTCTTTGTTTTAATAAAATCATCTAAAAGTATGATTTCTTTATAGAGGAAAGAAAATGTTTTTCTCTTTTCCACAGATAATGTGCATAAAATCATACAATAACACAGGGCAAATGAGTGGTATGAAATCATGATGATGCTATGGCCAGGTTGATATTGAAGACTGATATGGCACAGGAACCACCCAATTAGAACAAAAACTTCAACTGGAACAGAGTCCTGGAAAAACCCTGCCATGCTGGTTTTTATTTCTTTAGATGCTGGGTCATGAAGAGATCTGGGGGCATCTTGGTGGAGGGGGTGTTGCTTTGGGTGTGTAGGACAAAGAAATGTCACTGGGAGTTTTCAATAACAGCTATCAACTGATCAGGACAGAAGTATTTCAATAGTTTGATAACTGGTACAAATATACCAATGAATGCTAGCAGAATATTTACTTTTGCTAAGACTATAGTTTTCATCTGTACAATAGGATTCGACTCCAGGACTCAAGTTTTATATAAACATTATTGGAATGGTGGCAAACAAGACATCTTAGTGAAATTTTCTATTAATGTACTTTGAGTATGATTTATATCTTGCAGTTTAACAGTCCCAAACACTATTACTTTTTGAGTTTTGTAGAACAAGACAGTGCATCAACTTTCTGGTATTAAATCAATATTCATAAAATATTGTATATATCCTTGAGTAATCAGGGACTGGATATAAAGATTGTGGATTACCTATGCTCTCTTTTCTCTTTTTGCATAGCTTTTACTCACTTAAATATGCATTAGTTTCCTTAAAGGAAAACAGGCAGCAAAGGTGAGCAAAATGCCAATCAATTTTTTATTAATTTGAATCAGTAATACTCATGAAGAACTTTGGAGAGGTAGAGATTGTAACCTCTAGCTAAAAAGCAAACAAATTATCAGTAGATATCAGGCACCCACCATTGCCTATGAAAATTAAAAATCTATGATTACTTTTATCTAATATAACCTTGGTCAATAAAGTATTTATTATGAATTAGATGGCAAAAGAGAAGCTTAGTGTTATTGTATATTTTGGCCATAATTACATTTGCTGGTGATTTGTCTTATCTGATTTGCTAGGGAGAAACTGAGTAAAGCCAAGTTGACCTTAAAAAAAAAAGACTCTTTCCAAATTCTTAACTACGTATTCTTTGAAAGAATATCCAAGCTATTGAAAATGAAACATGTCTCTTTAAGCTGTTAACAGCTTCTTTTCCTTCCTAGTGTTCAGTTAAACTATCTGCTGGTTAGATTAATTAGCAATGTTGTGAATGCAGTAATGACCGAGGTTATATGGACCATCTTGTTGGGCTAATTTAATCATGATATTTATTGGATTATAAAACAATATAACAAGAATGATCATTCTTGATCTTCTCTTTTTCAGTTAACTGGTCTACCTCTGTCAACGCCTTACTAGTCAAGTGACATTGTACCTGATTCCAAACAGTCTCTAACATCACTTTCATCTTCATGCATTTTCATATATTTTGCAACACTTACAGTTTCACTTTTTGGTCAACTCTCTGGCAAAAACATTGATGTGAGAGTTCAAAGATAGCCACTGGTGTTAAGCTGGGAGAGATGTGTGACTAAAGGTTATATGTGGTCAGTTTATTAGTGAACTTCATCATGTTGTGTTGATTTTTCCATTCTTAGGAAATTTTATCACTACTCAGATTTTGAAATTAAATGTTTAGGTAACGAAGAACTCATCTATAAAGCACTAAGTAGAAAAACTTTAGCAAATATTCACTATAGTTTCTTTTCTTTGAACATCAGAATTGGTCAGAACTGCACAGGGCTACCGTAGACACTTTATTCCAAAAGCTAAAGCTAACTCTAGGGACTCTTATACCTAGAGAACTTTGGGGTTAATTTCTCTTTGGCTAAAAGTCTTTCATCAGCTCAAATAGCTTTTGGTTAAATGAGGTAAATTATTTGAAAATGTCTAGTAATTGTATTTGGTTCTTAACATAAGCTTTTAGGGAAAATCAACAACTTTGTACTTTGAAAGATGAATAGCATGAACATTCTTAGAATGTTAGAACTTTTGTGATAGTAAGAATATTTTGCATATGTTTGTTATGTTTCTGTTTTTTATTGGTACAATCTTTCTTAAAAGCTCAAGAGTAATTTATAACACAACACTAAGCCTAAATGCACCTCTCAGTAGTTTCTCCTATAATGTGGTTGCTATTACCAGCAGGTATTGATAAAGAGGGAATAAGAAAAAGTTGTCCATTTGTTAGAATCACTGCCTTATAGATACCTTCCTTTGCCTTCATGGATACATATAACAGGTCCTAGTACATCAACATCTTCAGGAATTCATTGAGAATTTTTACTTTACTAACCCAGACTGTAAGCATTATCACTGAAGGAATTAACTTTGCTTTGTTACCAATATAGACTTACTTTAAACACTGACATTTGTCAGATGGTTTTGGCTTATTTTTCCACATATATTTACAGCAACAAATTTTTTTTCTGATAGATAATGGAACTTGGACTCAACTTTGGCTTGTTTCAGAATATCATGAACAGGGTTCCTTATATGACTATTTGAATAGAAACATAGTGACAGTGGCTGGAATGATCAAACTGGCACTTTCAATAGCTAGTGGTCTGGCTCACCTTCATATGGAGATTGTTGGTACACAAGGTATATATTTTCCATTTAATTTTTTTCTTCTTGAATATGAGAATGGAAACAGTTGTCTTTTAGTGTTTAGTTGTATTCTAGTTTTACAATTATCAAATGTAAAGAAACACAACAGATACTTTGAATATTTTGTCATGATAGTCAACTTTCATCTATGTACTTGTCATTTTGTATATTATTCATAATAATATTTTTATTCCTGGTGGCTCTATCTTTGCCATTTAGCACATATACTTGGGCAAATGCTCTATGTTCAGAGAATACAAATAATTTAAATGTTTACTTTCGATAATCAAAATAATTGGAAAGGGTTATATGATCATGAAAAAATATATTTCATGTACTTGAAGGCCAAATAATATCCACTGTGGTCTTTTCTATTCATTGAGTTAATAAAAAATTAGCCATAGGAAGTCATTAGTCTAGTCAGGGACAGTGGTTCTCAAATTTGGACTCATGATCCCTTTAAACTCTTAGAATTACTGAAGGTCCCTGAAAGATTTTATGTATATGAGTTATATCTTTTAATATTTACTATATTAGAAACTAAAATTGAGAAATTTAAAAATATTTATTAATCCACTTAAAATAATAATTTGCCAATTAAATATGAACATAAATAATTTTTTAAAATTTGCACAGTTTTTTTGTAATACAAACCAATCTAGCAAAAATAATGGTTTTGTTTTACATTTTTGCAAATCTCTTTAATGTCAGGTTTAATGTCTTGGTTTTTATACTCTTCTTCATTTAATCTGTTTCAATATGTTGTTTTGGTTGAAGTATTTGAAGAAAAGGTGGCATCACACAGATATGTAGTCAGTAAACAGTCTCAAGGACTCACTTTGGACCACATTTGAGAGCTGCTGGTCTAGGGCAGTAGAATTTTGAAACTTGTTTTATAAGAAAATATTTGCTATGTTTTTATGTATACATATCAATGCTATTTTTGCCCTGTTCATTCAGCAAACATATATTAGTGACTACTAAATGTTACCTAGTGATCTAAGTGTTGGAGACACGGTGATGACTAAGACACAGTCTCTGCCCTTATGTAGTTTACAATCTAGTTGGGAGAGACAGGTAATTAAACATGCATATGAATAAACAAGATAATTTAGATAGTGGTAAAAGCTGTGAAGAAGGCACAATGAGATAATGTAATGGAGAATGACAGGATGAGAAATGGGTGCTCAGGGAAGACCATTCTTAAGGAGTGACATTTGAGCCAACTCGTCAAAATGATTCCTTTTGGAGGGATTTAACCTTCAGTAACAAAAAAAAATGAATATGTTCTTCTTATACTTCATAGGTAAACCTGCTATTGCTCATCGAGATATAAAATCAAAGAATATCTTAGTGAAAAAGTGTGAAACTTGTGCTATAGCAGACTTAGGATTAGCTGTGAAGCACGATTCAGTACTGAACACTATTGACATACCTCAGAATCCTAAAGTAGGAACCAAAAGGTAAGAAAACTTACTTTGGTAGCACACTAAGATTTATGACTGCCCCACAAATGGTAGTGCCTGCAATATGTGTAGGGAGGTGGCCAGCAGGTGCAAAAGGAAAATCAATAGGCCCAAGGAAACAAGAAGTCTTCTCTGGGCCACTGAAAAATCAATGGTTATAAAACAAGGAGAATTGGCATGTTGATCATATAGAAAGTAGCCATTTTGGTGGGGAAACCAGTGGAGAAAAATGGTAGAAGAGATGGTGATATATTATTCTTAATGTGCCACATTCTGAGAATACATTTTCCTACAGAGAAGCAGGGAAAATGTTAGCAATGTACAGCTCCTCCAAAGCCTTTATACCTTATAAGTGAACTGAAACTCAGGCTAGTTCTATATGTTCAGGTTCTAAACACAGAATCAATATAGTGGACTAGATAGATGAGGGACTCTATACAATACATATGTATATGTGTATTGTATTCTCTTGATATTCAAGAATATTATGTAACAATTTATGTTTTTACCTATAATTGTATTTATCATTAAGTCTCTCAAATTGATGTCTATTAAGATAATATGAGTTTGGACACAATTCCCACTTTCAAGGAACAGAATTTCTGAAAGTCAAGAACAAGTGTGATATAAACAGAGCATACCACATATATGTCAAGACGGGCCCATTAGTCATGGGATTTATGGTGTTTTCTTGTTATGACAAACCTGTGGCCATAGGGCCAGCATATTTCCGTTTCCTTTTATTTGAATTTCAGGCTCCGCTTCACTTTGGCATAATTCTAGTTTTCTTAACCTTGAAATGAGAAACAAAACATTTCCTGGAGTCGTTAAAGGCCCTTGAGAGTAGAGAATTTCTAAATAGGCATAGTTGGCCTCTGGCTGTTTTTGAGAGTCCAGGCTAGTCCCTCTGAGTCCTTCACTTGGTTCCTTGGGAGACTTTAATGAGGCCCAAGAAACGCTTCAGGACAGTTTATTCAGACTGGGCAGCCCTGAGGGACTTCTTTCTTTTCCTTATAAAAAGCAAGCTTTAACTTGTCCATCTGACTATCCCCATGTTATGGACTCTCAGGGAAACCTTAGATGTCAGATTCTCTTAGAGGATCTAAAATTTTTAAAAGAGTATAGAAGAGTGTTGCATCCTTACCTCAGTATTCTGAGAAACCCTTAAAATCTCCCTAGGCAACTAGGCTCAGTCAGGTCTCATGGACTGGAGATTTCGTTAATTTAGTCCTGTTCTAACAAGGCTATAATTTTCTTAGAGTCAATGTATAGTAAAATTGTTCATTTAGAGCAGGTGTTTGTGGAATGCTATTGAGTACTGTGTTGAAGTACTGGGTCCTCCATGATGAATAAAAAATACTGTTTGCCCTCAAGGAGCTTTCCTTGGCAAAAAAACTACTAGTGGAAATTGATTTATCTCTATTGAGTGTTTTCCTTACTGAATCCCCTCGGCTTGTACTTTCCGAGTATTTGGCTCCTGGCACACGTTTGAACACTGAAGAGGACCTCTAGTTCTATTTAAAATGTTTTTAAATTATAGTTGAGTCAATAACTATATTATTTAATTTTATTCTATTATAGTGACTCAGGTCTACCTGTCAAATTGATGTAAGGTATCTGAAATATTTTGTATCAGGATTTATTAAGATTGTGTTTTAGTGGACTGCTATAAAGTCATACACAGAATCTGAAATGTGCATGTTTTTGAAGGTATATGGCCCCTGAAATGCTTGATGATACAATGAATGTAAATATCTTTGAGTCCTTCAAACGAGCTGACATCTATTCTGTTGGTCTGGTTTACTGGGAAATAGCCCGAAGGTGTTCAGTTGGAGGTAAGATTTTGGACATAATACATATGTCTGCCTTTCCTTGATGCTCTGAATATAGGATATGATAGTTTATCTTTTTTTTGAGGCACTATATTAAATCATTTCTTAATATTTTAGAGAATACTTTTTGGTCATATCTTTTCAGTGACAAAAATGAAGAATCTATAAAATGGAGATTTTAGATTAAAATTACTTCTTAAGTAGGGGTGACAGTTCTCCTGATAATTTTATTTCCATAATAATACTTTATGTAGCACTTGGAAATTTCGATTTTGTATTCAGTTTGCTATATCCCTACTTTATGCCAGAAATGAAACCCAAAGAAGTTGAATGACTTGCCAAGGCCACAGGACTTGAGCTGAAGTTTTCTGGCTCTCAGAATTTTCTTGTTCTTTTCTTTCCTGTGATGAGGAAATGTGTAGGGTAAAAAGTGAAGGGTGTAGATGAGCAAAGACCAAGTTCCTGATGCTACTGCTCCCAGCAGTTTAGAGATTAATAATGATAGGAAGAATCTGAGAGGATGAAACCCTACACATGCGATTTGATGGAACTGTTGCATCAGTGGAGAAAAGTTAAACAGTAGTAGAAAATGATTTACTGTTTTCTTTTTCAAGTGAGACAGACCTAGAGCTGAGCCTTGGTATAGCAATTTCCTGAACGTCTGACTTTAGGCAAGTTACTTGGTCTCACTTTCCTCATTTGTAAAATGAAGAAATAATGAAATTGACCCCTTGGGCTTTGAGGATTTAATGGATTAATTCAGTGAATTCATGTGGCGCTTTTAGTACAGAGCATGCTCACAGTAAACAGTCAATGAGAGAACGACAGTTTATTAAACAAACCACTGTCAACTTTTACATTTTGTATTGATGTCATTTTTTTCTTATATCAATCTCATTGTTTTTAAATGAAAAGCTTACAAGGTGAAAATTATATGTGAATGAGAAAACATACTTTCCCCCCTTTATTCATAGATGAGATAATAAAATATTCGGGAAGATGAAACTACTCATAAAAGCAGTAGAATTATTGTGATGTAGAACATGGACAGCGGAATCCCGAGCCTGGGATTGAGTTCCAGATGTGCCGCTTACCAGATGTGTGCCCTTGAGCGAGTTCATGGCACTCTTTGTATCTCTGTTTCCTCATTCCTTGAAATAGGGATAATACGGTACCTTCTTTAGTTAGTGTCTTTGAGGAATAATTAGTAAAACATCTAAAGGGCTAGTACAGTGCTTGGTAAATAGCAAGTTTCAAATATGTTTGTTATTATTTTAAAATTTTATATTGATATTTGTCTAGATTTGCTTTTAGAATTTGGTCAATTTTCTTCAACTGTTGAAATAGTAATTTAGATAACATGATTTGAAGTTCACCTTCTAATATTATGGTGCATCTTAAATATTTTAAATTAAAGAGACTGTAGTTTATTCAAATGATCTTATAAGGAAATTTTTGAATTCAAGTAATATTCTGATAATTAAGGTCGACTCTTTGTCTATGCATTTGAGGCTCTTTTAATATGAACCTTCATGTCAAACCATTCATCTTCAAATATTTTGGCTGCTTCTTCAGAACATTCTCAGATATAACAGTTGTAAAATACAAATGTAAGAAACTCAGCTTTTAAAAGATTACCTAACAGTTTTCGAAAAGAGAAAGCTATTTTGTCTTGAATGGTTATTTTACAGAGAAATATAGTTCATTCACAGAGCAATGAGGCCATGCTATAAATTTTTCAATTAGGTGTTACTTTTGAATTTCACAATGGCATTTTATGTTAATCAAAATCTACATAATTTTTATAGTATAAATTATATTTTATATAATTATTAAAATTACATGTTATGTACTATTTATATAATAGGCAATATATTATTCTATAAAATTATATACTATATAAAGTAATTACTATAATTTTATTTTATATACAATTTATGTAATTATCAAAATTTTTATAATATCAAATTATAATAAACTTATATAATAACTATTAAACTGAGCACTTAAACTTATATCCTTGGTTTTATAGTGATATATAATTTTAATAAACTTGACTTTCCAGTTTTCCATGGTGCTACTTGTACCTAGATTTAATTGGTGTTATTTTGAAATAAGCATCTTTATTTATCATTTACACTGGGAAATTTATCGTGCAAATTTCTTATAGGAATTGTTGAGGAGTACCAGCTGCCTTATTATGACATGGTGCCTTCAGATCCCTCGATAGAGGAAATGAGAAAGGTTGTTTGTGACCAGAAGTTTCGACCAAGTATCCCAAACCAGTGGCAAAGCTGTGAAGTAAGGCTATGTTCTTATGTATATTATATACATATATTGCTACTTTTATGTATTTGTGAAACTTATTGAAACTCACTATAGATATTCTTCTTAAATTTTCTTTTTACTTTTTCTTGTATATGTATATCTATTATATGTTCATTTTCATATCTGTGTAGTATTCCATTGGATGGACCTAGCAAAATTTATTTTTCCACTATACTGTTGATTGTCATATCTGTGATTTTTAATTTTTTAAAATAATGTTGTTATATATATGTGTGTGTATGTGGAAATGTTTCTTTAAGATATAAAACTATAGATTCTTTTCAGATATCCACATAGACAATTATATCTCTAAATAATGAGAGTTCTGGGACCAGTCCTCCCTCATGTCTTTTTTTCCTTTCTTATTGCAGTTTCCAGAACTACCAATATAATGTTGCCTGAAAGTGGTGATAATGGATATTTTTGTTTTGTTCCTTAAAACTTTGTATTTTTCACCTTTGAATATGGTGTTTGCTTCAGGTTTTGCTTTTTAAAACTTCAATTAGCTTAAATAAAAGCTGACTTGTTTGATAAAAGCTTTCTCCCTATCTGTGAGGTGATGGTAAAATATTTCTGCTTTAGTCTCTTAATGCAACAAATAAATTGCATTTATTGATTTTCCACTGTTAAAGCAATCATACATTCCTAGAATAGACCTAAGGTAGTCCTTTTCTATGTGATCAATTTTGTACATTGCCGATATATGCAATTTTTGACTATTTCTGCCTAATATTTTAGTTCTATCTTATTTCGTATTAATCCTGTATATTAGATATTGGTATGATTTTATACCATCATTGTTTATTTAGACCTATGAACATGTTGATTATTTTCTTTGTTCAACATTCCTTCTTGGCTCTCAGAGCTTCCTTCTAACATCATTTTCTTATCCTGATGTGCATCTTTTAACTCTATTTTATCTATCTATCTATCTATCTATCTATCTATCTATCTATCTATCTATCTATCTATTTATTTATATTTATTTATTTTAGTGAGGATCTAGTGGTTATAAGTTCTTGCAGTCTTTGGGTATCTGAAAATGTCTTTATTTCGTCCTCAGTCTTAAACAAATAGTTTATCTGGGCATAAAAATTCAATTATTTTCTCTAAACACTTTAAAGGTATTATTCCACCGTCTTCTGGCTTCCATTATTGCTATTGAGAAGTCAACTAGTTTTTGTTTCTTTTTAGTTAATTTATCTTTTCTTCCTGACTATTTTAAGAACTTCTCTATGTCTTTAGTATTCTGCAGTTTCTCTATGATGCATTTGATGTAGATGTCTCTTGATTAATCTTGCTTGGAATTTTTGGACTTTCCAATTCTAAAGATTTGTGACTTTCTTCAATTCTGGAAAATTTTATTATCTCTTTAAATAATTTAATTTTCCTTGTTGCCCATTTTTAGAGAACTCATTATGTACATGTTAGACCTTTCATTTTACTTTGCTTCTTTCTTTCACCCCTGTTTTCCATATTTGTGTCTTTATGCAGCATCTTTCACGTTTATCATTAATCTGTCTTCAATTCTAGCAAATCTGCCATTTAACTCATCCATTCAGTTTTTTATTTTAATGGTTATATTTTTTATGTCAATAAGTTTTATTGATACTTTTTTTAAATGTGCTCTTGATTTAACTTATAGTTTGAATTTCCTCTTTGCTTCTTAAAAATGTATTTTTTTTACTTAGAAGATGCTTTATTAGTTTCTATAATCAAACCATGTAGATAAGACCTTACATATTTAATACAGTGTGTTATCCCTATACAAATGGAAAAAATTATGTTTAACATTTCTAGACCAATTCGGCTGTTAATTTCTGTACAAAGCCAACCTGCCATGGTACAACTGCGATACTTTTTCTGAAGTTGATAGCACAGTTAAATTTCTAAAAATTCAAAAAATGTATGTATATACATATGTATGTATGTATTTATTTATATGAAAAGACCAATATGTTATGCACTGATAACAGCAATAGCTTTTCCAGGCCCTGCAGTCATCTGAACAAAATTATAGAGACATCTATCATACTCTATCAAAAAAAAAAAAGGTGAAAAAATAAAACCCCAGAAAACAGCAAAGTTCTATTACTGTTGTGGTATTAAAAATGTACTTGGTATATTTATTTTATATTTTATATCATTTAGTTCTAACATCTATGTTTTGATGGGGTCTGATTTTACTGTTTGTTGTTTCAGCTGACTCTTGCTTATGATACTTTATTTCCTCATGTGCTTGTGAATTTTCATTATGAGTTCAGGCTTACTGCAACATTTTAAGACTTGGGCTTCATTTTTTTTCTTCATGAAGAGCTGAGATTTAGACTTTTTTTTTTTTTTTAATAAAATTTCTTCTAAGACTGATTCATCCTTCCACTCAGAACCTTGCAAACATCTTGATCTGTCACCTTCTGTGTGTTCCAGGCTGTATTTCCTGTCTTTCCTATGTGGTCCATCAATTCTGAGACTTTAGACTGTGAGATCAGCAGATACCATCAGACCAGCCGCTTGATTTACTGATTTCTTTTATCTCTCTGGATTCATGCATTCCTATTGTCTTCACCTCTGAATATTCACTTTATTTATTTATCAGTTCACTTATACTGATTTTTAAATTCAGAATTTTCAATATTTATATTTAGATCATTATTTTATTGTGGCATAATTTCCATATGGTAACATGCACAAATCTTGGTATATGATATAATGATTTTTTAAAAAAAATGTATACATGTGTGTACTTACCATCCAGAGCAATATACGGTAAATTTCCAGGCCGTCTCATTTCCCTTTTGTTTTTCATATCCCTTCTTAGAATGTTTTAAATGATAGCCATTCTACCATATTCCTAGAAATCAGTGAATTGAATTTTTAATTAAAATTTAGCCTCTATGGGTAAATATATGTGTTGCAACAAGATTTTTGAAGGAGTTTGGACCTAATCTCCTTCTCACATTGTTTTAAATTTACTGTTTCTTCATCAGAGCTTAGCATCAATTCTTGGCTTTTGGTTCTGCTTCTCTTGTATTGTGCTTTTTTTGTGAGTAAAGTCTTTGATATTTTTCTCTCTTAAAGGCACTGCGAGTCATGGGGAGGATAATGCGTGAGTGTTGGTATGCCAATGGGGCAGCCCGCCTAACCGCCCTTCGTATTAAGAAGACTATTTCTCAACTTTGTGTCAAAGAAGACTGCAAAGCCTAATGATGATGATCGTGTTAAAAAGAAATCTCTCACAGCTTTCTTTCTCATTTTCTCTCTTTATGTGAACTTTTTTTGCCTTTGTTGTTGTTGTTGTTGTTGTTGTTGTTCTACCTCAGAGATAATGCAGTACAGTATTTAAGTGTCCAAAGGCAGCATGAGAAAATAACTCTAAAATCAAGCATGGGCAGGAGTCGATTTTATCCAATCTTCATGTTGTCTTTAATTTTATTTTGAAAAGCAACACATCAACTCATCTATTTAATAAGAATATATTATAAATGTGTAAAATAAGCTATATAAAAATGATAAAAGTCATTAAAGTTTTATTTTACTTGAATCAAGAGCACATGAATGAATGGAATATTATGTTGAAAAAGTGAGATGAAAACATATTTATTAAAAATGTAAACTAGAGTACGTTATGTCTAAACAAAACTTTAGATCATGCAATTTATGGTGTTCTCTATTTTTAAGTTAAGTAGGATCTTTTAAAAGGATTAAACATTGCTCTGAACATTAGTATAAACATGTAAAAGTGGGGCTGCTCACTAGGAAGATGGTACTGAGGTCAGAGTCCTACCTACTTGGTCCCTCACCACCTTTCTCTACTCTTCATAACCTACCACCACAGCAGCCCCTAAGGCAAACAGTTTGAATGCCACTAAAATTGTTACTTCTTCTCATTTACAAATGAGATACCTGACATCTTTAGAAATATCCCAAAGTGACACCGCTCTAGTAGTAGAGCTGGCAGTAGGTCCAAGTTGTGTGGCAATCCACACCGTAGAGTTAGCTGGCTTCCTGCTGCCCCTTTCATTTCCACAGTACTTTTCTCCCTGTGTAGAAAAAATGTCTTCGATGACAATATTTGTGGTTTAGTAAAGCAGCAGACAAATTGAGTTATTTTTACAGAATCATAATGGATCTGCATGAACTCTTACAACACTATCCATTGATGTTTTCCTTATAGAACTTCATAGGCACCCTGTTTGTTATATATGTGTTAATGTTTTCTGAACACTCTCAGAGATTAATCAAACATTAAGATCCATTGTCAGAAGATGCCTTTAAGATGTATTTCAGAATAAAAAACTCTTAAATGAAGTGTAACGACCAAATTCTACAAGGGTATCATAGTAAAGGGATATTTTCCCCACCCTTTCAAAATGAGTGAGTAGATGCAGAAGGTGGCTCATGATAATTTTGCCTTTATTCTACTTTCTGTGGAGACAGGATTGATGAATTCTGAATAATATATGGAATATTAAATGTTTCCTTCAAATCTATAATTCTGCTTTGGTGAAGAAATTTAACACGGTACCTTTGTTGTTGTTGTTGTTCTAAAATATTGTTTTCTAAACACTGTTCCTTAGAATGCTCTTCTATCGAGATGATCCAAGATCAACAGTTTTCTTTGAAAGATTCTTAGAAGGTGACACTGAATATTAGTGTAGCATGTGCTTTGATGAGTCTAGCAGTAAAGAAATGTTACTCGAATTTCTTTAGATTGAGTTTCCCAAATTATTTGACCATAGAACCCTTTTATTAAGAGCAGGGGGAAACATTTTACTAGTTCACATTTTAGTATTCTGCCAAGTACATAGGTAACAGTGTTCCGAAGGACATACTTATGTATTTTTACATACAGAACAATTAGTGCTTATACTTCATTTCGGTGTGGAAATATGTTACTGAACCCATCTTCATTTCATTAGGATGTAATATCAATGTGACAAATGTGGTTTATATATACTTTCACTCTCATTCATGGAATTATCCATTCATTAAATATTATAGGGCATCATGTATCTTTCTTGCCACAATATTGGGTCAAATAGGAGATTAAAGGATGGATAGGTTTTGTCCTCAGGGATTTTAAAGTCTAATTTGGGGATGCAAATGGGGATGTGGGTGTGTGGGGGAAGAGTAAGTTGACAAATAAATATAACAAAGTAGAATATTTTGAGTTCTCTATGACAGTGGGTTTCAAAAATTACTTTCAACTTGCAGCACATTTTTAAAAAATTTTTATTTGGCTATTTCAGACAATCTAAATTATATAAGCAGTTTTAAAAAGTGCATATGTGAAGGATTTTAAAAAGAGTTTATAAAAAGGGTAATCTTGCTTGTGCTTATCTTGATTTCTGAAAGATTGTTTCCACATATATGAGAATGAAATTATTTATTTACTATAGTTTCAAAAACTAAGGATTTTTCTGTTGTATTCACTTATGTTGGGTGAATATACTTATTTAAATTTTTAGAGAAGATGTTTTAATATCTCCATTTTCTTTGTCATGTTTAGAGCATGTCCTTATATAATTTCATATTTTTGTTGGTTCAACTTTCATTCTAGAGAAATCTGTACATTTTGAGATATTTTTCTTGATTTTTTGTTGGTTAACTATAACTCAAACTGAATAATCTTATATTTCAATTACCGAGCACATTTTTTAAGAAAAGGGGGTAGATTAACAAAAATGATTATGAAAAGTTAAAAGTTCTAGTTGTTAGTTGTTCCTTAACTCTTAACATGTTTATAAAAAGAAAATGCTCATTTACAAATATAGGATAAAGTTTAGAGCATTAAGGTAAATTTACTGTATATACCTATGTTGTTAAACTTCATATTATTTGTTTCTGATGAAGTCTTATTGTGTAATATTTCTTTTGAATTGCGTTGAAAACAAAAAATATTCTTCTTAGGCTCAAAGTGTCAGTGTTCTTTGCTCCTTTCAAATATTTTGGCTTTGGGTAAAATATAAAGCTCGGGAAAATGCTATTTATGAAATTTCAGTACTGTATAAAGTAGTGATGGAATATATATTCAGCATCACTTCCTTAAAATAAGGGAAACGTTATTTGTTGTCAATATTTCAGCATGAACTGTTGCCTTATGAACTATGTGTTTAAATGTGTAATTGGTACAGATTCTGTTGTGTGCTTTCTCCTATGCCTAAAATATTTGGCATGTCACATCTAGAATTCTTAATTTATGTTCTGACTTGAAAGTTAAGTGAAACATGACTGTGCCGTGCACTATTTTAGGCGTAGCACTTGCTTTTCATCTTTACACTTTCAATTAACTTTGCATTTTAAATTTCTACGATTGTATGAAAATAGTAACCTGATGGCAGTGTCTGAAGACTTCAAAATCAGTTTTTATTTTAAAATGAAAATCTACAATAGATTCATCAGGTTAGAAGTTCCATAATAGTTTATTATTTTTAATACTCCCGTTTTAATGGAATTATTAAACAAAATAAATCAAAACTAAAGTACTTCTACTATGCTGGAATTTTGCCACCATGTGACTTACTGGGGCAGAGAAAACTCAGGGCTTAGAGTTTACGAAAAAGGACCAGGGTACCTACTAACAGATGATCTGAAAGCAGGGTGGGGGTTCATGTTTGCCATTATACAAAGTTCAGTGTAAAATTGCTTGGCAGAGAATAATTTTTGATTAATTATTTAAAATAAATATGAAAATGTATTTTGTTTAAATAAATTTATTTAAAGTGTGGACATTTTATTTCCCATTAAGAAACTTAAAAAGTAACAATAGCAAATGAGTACAGTTAGTTAATGGCAGTTGATGTCTTCAATAATCATTCCTTTAAATAAATTTACAAATACAACATTTTAAGTTGCTTGGAAATGTTTGAGAATTAGTATCCTAAAATGGTGTCATTGTGGTTTTCAAAGATATCTTTTGTGAAACATACTACTTTTTTTGACAATGCTTTATATTAACGACCTCCATACACTAATACCTACATGGACTTTATGCACTATCTAGTTAAGACAGCAATCTTTTTGCTCCTGAGGGCTTTTTTTTTAAACAGGAAAAAAGTCAGTTGGAATATAAAAACTTCTATAAAAATATTACTATTAAATAGAATTTCTGTAATATACAGTTTTTAAAAATGTTTCAATGCCAATTTTCAGATATTTGACTTTCTTTTTTCTCTCTAGCTTTCCTTTTACTTTTCATTATTTTTCTCATCTCCTTTTCCCCACTATCTTTCAAAATTATCTTTAGTCCCTAACTTTAAAAAATAACTAGCAACTGTTTAACTTATTATAGTACTTAGCCTTCTAAAGAAAGAGAATCTTTTGGTGGTTTAAATTATTTCAGATGTGTCACAGACACAAATAAAAACCATAATTTGGGAATTGTAAAAGATATAAGAGATTTTATAAATCAATCCCCATATTTTATAGATGAAGAAACCAAAGATCAAAGATCAAATGCTTGGTAGTTATTACCATAATTGATATGAGAACCAAGTGGGTGCCCTACCATATTTAATATTTACTAATTAAAAATAATTAACATACATCTAAACCTACATTGAATGCACACTACATAATGTGCAATTTACTGGTGATCAAATCCCACTGTTTTTGTTTTGGCTAGAGTAATTTGCTCACTCATGGTTAGGTCAGTGAGAAAAACTAAAATGGGCCAAGGGAGAGTTTTAAATAGCTAGGTAGGCAACCACTGGAGTGTTGAATAAGGTTTAGGAATTGTGAGAACATGAGATTTCTCAGTGCAAGTAGTACTGAGATGCTTCATAACTATTTTTCCCTCTTTTCTGTAAGGATTATTGTTTCTCTTTATGCATTGGAATGGGAGCGAAAGATGATTTGATAGTTGAATCTGGGACCATGTCTAGTAGCATATTATCTTACTTCTCTCTTTTCTTAGTTTCTCATTAGTTTGTCCTTGGCATTAATTTTATTTTTAGTACATTAGAATAAATCTTTGCTGGATTTCGTCAATGCTAATTATGCTATAATTTCTGTTCTTCTAGTGTTCTGGCCCCTGTCAGGTTGCTACATACTGAACTTCTTAACAAGATTTTAATTTTCTATGCCCACACACAAGAGGTTTCATCTCATACATTCTCCAGTAATTTGAATTTGGCACCATGAAGAGGGTATTTGTTAATGGCAGAGAAGACTTTCTTTTAAATTTTAAAAAGACTAGCAATCTAGTTATATTACAGTTTTCAGCTAATATATAAAGAATGTCTATATTTGCTTTAATACTAAATTCAACTTGAGATGGTGACTTGAACAAAGAATGTGAAATATATGTCCCATAATGTGATTGCTAACCTTATTTCTATTATGTTTCATACTATTGCTTTGTTTTGCTTTGGCCATCTTTTAAAATTAAGCCATTA